CCTTTCATTTTTGTTAGGGAAAATCGAATTTTCCATGTGTTATCCCCAGGAGCCTTTCTTTCTACTTAAATTCGATGTATTTTTTAATTCTCTTCAAGGTAATAAGAAAGGATGAGAACGAATAAAAACGATTATTAAAATGGTGTTAAAAAATAATTAATAGAAAAAACTAGAATTTTTTTTTAGAAAAAACCATTAATAACACAGTCCCACATAAAAAAGTGTTTAGACTTGTGGGTCGAACATATGTATTCCCATGTATTTTTCGACGCTAAATCCGATCCCCGGCTCCACGTATGGAATTGGCCCCAGGGACCAAACATGGCCTCTATATGGCCTAAAAGGTGGAAGAGTCAGGACTGGCCCAAATAGAGTTCCTGAAAGTTTTCGAGCTCGCTGATCATGATTATGATGTTCAAATTGAACCACAGATGACCTGGAGCTCAGGAACGCCGATGAACGTTATCTACGGGGACTATCCCAAAATTCACGCAAGTAAGGAGAGAAACGCGGCGCTCGGGGGGTTTTTTGGGTTGCTGAATTCAAATATAACATCGGCGAATACTCCCTGGATACCTGGTGCGCTGGAACCGGCACGTGGATGTCATCTCCGAGAAGTTTCTTGCCAAGATTGCCAAAAACAAGCCGAAAAACCTTTTAGGGGTATTTTTTGGGGCATTTGATCCAAATTTTACGTTGAAAACGATCCCCAAACACCTAGTGGACCGAAAAGTTGTCTCCGAGGGTTCTCCAGACACAATCGCTAAAGACAAACCGAAAATCGTCATGAAGGTTTCCAGGCACGCGGAATCCAAATTCCATCACGAAAAGGTACCTCCGGAGATCTGGTGTACCGGAACTCCGGCCTGAACGTCATCTAAGAGGGTTTTCCTCACACAAACGAGACTACTGTGTCTTATTAGAGATCCCTGTACACCTCACTGTATGTATATACTTCCGTATGAAGAAGTAAAGACGGGGACTCTATACTGTATACTTTAAACTACTCTTTATACTTGACAATCGAGTGAGGAATATATGGGTAAAATATAGACGCATTAAAACCGGTGGAGGGGCATTCAGGATCTTTTAGATACCGGGGAAAACTATAACTTAGGATTATTTTTTAAATTAAGGCCGTAACCGAGCGTCATGAAACCTTCTCGACGTCAAATCTATTCGCAGAGTAGAAGAACATTGGCTTCATACAATTTTCATGAAAATACCACTCGATTACTACGTCTCAAATACGACTTTCCGGTCCTTAAGGAGTCGTTTTCCCGGTCCCAAAGGGGGAATTCTAGTTGGCCATAAACTTTTCGAGCACAGTCTGAGTTCGAGAACTAGTACATGAATAAGAACATAAAAATATTACACATGTACGTCCATGGTTGTGTACTATTTTCCTTTCATATTACTCTCTTTGCACTCGGATAGTATGTAGCTGCTCTAGCAAAATTAACCGTCGCAGCTCTAGGTTGGATAACTTTTCAGTTTCCTCAATTTCGCCTGGTAACACAGTTGTTGCTATTTAAGCCAATAATCTCAAATATTTAAGATATGAGTTTTTACTCGTTTTTATGAAGCATTTTCTTTCAAGTATAAGATGATCGTTATTCATATTGAATGAAGCAATTGATTTTACTTCTACCTTATGCTCTAAGCATTTGCTTTCCTTCTGTCTCATGCGCATTTACTTCATTTTTATTCATATGGCCCAATAGGCTCATTTTGCAAAATAAGTTTCTATATAAACAAGGTCACAGTATATAAAATTCGTAGATAAAATTTTCAATAAAAAAGTTATATTATTAAAAAAAAAAAATAAAAATAAATCTTATGCATCTGACAAACATGTTGCACTGTAACATTGGAAGAATTAAATTTAACCAATAAATAACAAGAAGGAATATATGTTGTTAATGAGACTAAATATTTTTGAATTTCTTGGCATTAAAAGTAACACTTCAGTATCTAAAATTAAAGATTAAAAAAATAAAAAGTTTTAAAAGTATCTTTAAAAGTCTCTGTCTTCACTATATCTCCTGGTATCATTATAATTTTCTTTTCTGAGGTTTGGTATTATAGGGTCTATTAAGTTTTCCATTGATATATCCACTTTCCAAAATGAATTTTTTTCTTTTTTAACATGATCAATGCATTTTCTCCAATATAAATAACATCTGAAACCGGGGAAGCTGAGTTAGGCCAGCGCTGCATTTTAACTACAAATAAGCATTGAAGGATGAGGCATAAATAAAAACTCTACCTCGTACTCTTACTGCAACTCCTTTCTTCTCTATAGACTGGCTACTATGGCTACTATGTACTATTTAAAATTTTTATTTTATGATATTAAAAAACTGAAAAATACTGAAAAAATTAAAACATCCGAACAATTGTAAATAATGTAAATTTGACAAAAAATTATTAATTTTAAGTTAAACAATTTATTTAGTAATGTAAAACCTATGAATAAATTACTAATCCTGGGAAAACTATTCATTTTAGGGAGAAAAAGTTGGTGCTCATGTAAAACGGAAAAAGGGATCTGAGAAATTTGATATTTAACAATATTAAAGAACAGAATAAATTAAATCACATGTGGAATAGAATAAAGGAAACTGGGAGAAAAAATTAGTCAAAAAGGCATTTAGTAATAAGTGAAAGATGAGATGAAAACAATGAAGAAACAAATTTGTTGTAAATTATTTGGGTTAACAAAATATTGTTTTAATGATTACAGCAATGTGCAAAAATCGGAGAAGTTACAAATTGGATCTGTGCATTAAAGCAACCTATTTTTAAAATGTCAGTTTAATTCAGAGCCGTGCGTAGTTATCACGAACATGACTCTTTGTCTGTCATGGCCTACTTTTAGAAACATTTTTATAATTCCCTCTCTAGTTTAAAAATTGTTATTGTATTATTTAATATATCCAAAGAGTTACGGTGTCAGTTGGATGCAAAAAGCTAAGATTTAGAAAAAAAAAGCTAATCTGTAGCACATGCAATTGTTGTATCTTCAATAAACTCACACCTGTTATATTGGAATCTTAGACTGATTCAAATCCTCTTGGTCCTCAAGAGGGGCGATCCTAGGGAGTCGACCGACCGCTTGCAAAGACCTAATGTGCCGCCACTCTAGAAACATTTTCGTTTTTCGACTAATACTGAAAGTTTACGTTATAAAATTAAAACTTAAAGAGAAAAACTTTATTTTTTGACCAGCTAAAATACTTCAACAAAATAACAAATAAACAAAAATATTATCGTTGAAAAATAGAAATTTTTAAATGATAAGAAATGCTAATCAACAGTATTTACACAGAAAATATGATCTAATAAAAAAGTATTACAGCAAATATCTCGTAAAACGCCAATTATACAGGGTGTTTTAAAAAAAGGCGGACTCGTTGCTAGAATAGGTAGAACATCCATTTTCAAGATACAGAGTATTGAAAAAAAAAAAAAATATATATATACAGTTTTTACGAATATGTCGAAACTATTGGCAACATTGTAATGAAATTTTGTTCCAATATGTTTTGTAAGCTGATACATCACATAAATTTGTTTTTATATCTGCTTCTTATTAGCTCCGTGCGCGACAGCAGTGCTAATTCGTTTTGGTACTAATTGACTATTTCTGCGTATACTGACAAATACAATTTTTAATGGAATTCATAATTAAAAAGTATATATGTTAGTTTTAATAAAAGTATATGAATTTGTAAAACAACTAAAACATTAATTTATTATTATTATATATTTTTATTGCTTAAATTAAAGAAAATTATGTATAATCAATGAAAATCAATAATAAAATATAGGCAGGCAACACTATTTACTAGAAAATGTATAAGAAGTTGCCTAAGTCTAATAAGTTGTCATTGAAGAATTAGCCTATTCTGTCAAAATAAAAAATACCATTTAATAATAGCGTGAAGTTAAAATGTATAAAAAAAGGATCGTTATTTATATTTTCATTTTTGTTCGAAAGAAAACATAGAATGAATGGTTAAAACTGGTTTCCCATCAGTAAGTCACAAAATTGCATTCCAGCCACATATAATAATCAAAAGCAGAAATCTTGAAATCTAGTCCTTGCTGAATGAACATTTAAGAATAAAGGGAGATTAAAGAACGTCGTAAAATGATAACTTATTGTTTATTTAAAACCTTTCAAGTTTCTGATGTCTACTATTTTCAGCATTACTGTTATTATTACAAAAATAAAGGTAATTTTTCTTCTTATTGTACACTTATCCATTTATTTATTTAATTTAATTTCCACTTTGCTACTGAAATTTTTTATATAAGTTTTACTGTTTTTTTTTTGCTAGTATTTGTACAATTTTCAACACAGCAACTCCGGTTGCTTATTGTATTGTTTTCATCTACTTTTTTGAAAAAAAGTAAAATGTATACGTATATTTGATATGCCTAAATTACAAAATATCGCCCTAAAATGCACGAATTATCCGCAGCTAGCACTAATATTGCTTTTGCTTCCCTTTCCATGACTTCGCGCGGAGTGAATAGAGGGCGCTTGATATTTAGGGTAGCCATATGTAAGTAGTTGAGATTAAGTACGAAGGTTCTTTGGAAAAAGTTGAATTTATCAAATTGTTAGTAATTTCATTTAAAAAATATTTATACTCGATCTAAGCTATTTTAATTTACCTTCTTGTTTAAAACAGCCAATGATACTGGCATATTTTGTCATTTTTTCATTGAAATACCCTTTGATCAAGTCGATATCCGTAAATCCATTTACAACAATTAATAATATTTCAAAAGCTAACACAACTTTTAAAGTGTTCATACTTTGCAGTCAACTTGATTCGATAAGAAAAAAATCGGTGGCTTTCTGAACTGTAATAAGACAAGAAAATTGCAGTAAACTGTGTTTTCAATATTTAAATAGAGTATGACAGCTGTAGTGAGGGATATATTAATAAAAAAAGAACGAGGCAGGTGAATACAATGTTTATTTTGGCTTACATTTTTTTTGTCAACTTTGCGGTGCTATAATTTCGTGCGTTAATAGAAAACAGAAGCGTATTTACGATTAAATATTGATAATACAATACAGGGTGATTTTAAACTTGACTGTTTTGATATAATTTTAAACGAAAGTTTCTGGTTCTAGGTAAAAAGCTCGATTTAACAATAATCATCAATTCTCATTTGGTAAAAGGATACAATTTATGTACGCTCCTATTACTTTTGATGCGTGACTTAACAGCTGTAAAAAGTCGTTGTTTGTGGTACAAGAAAATTTCTAAGGACAGAAAAATTAAAGCGAGAAACGATCCTAGAAGTACAGCTACAGGACCGCACGAGAACTCCTTGAATGACACGTGAAATTCTTGTTTCTTTGCTGCTTGGATGCATTCAGGTTGACGCGCGTCCCAGTGTCTACGAAGCCTGTCCATGTTGCCGTCTTCAGATTGTTTGAACATACTGTAAATAAGACAGTTTAATGTACCAGTTGTTTTAGAGGAGTTTTTGAGGTGTTCGAGGTCAACCCAATGTACGTAAGAATAATAAAACTATGAATATTACATAGTTTCAAAAAAATGTATTACTGTGCATTTTAGGGTTTTTTTGTAGAATATTCAAATTTATTATTTACAAAGAAATAGGATATTTATCTCGGTATTTACCTACTAAGGGCCGGTGCTTGCAGACCTACTTACAGTCAAGTACCACTTTGCGGGTCTGAGGGGATAGGAAATCGACGAGTCATAGGCGTGCGGTTATTATTAAAAATGATCTTCCGCATTTTAGAACGAATTGCTTGTCACAAAAATTGTTTTCCTATTTTGAAGATGCACAAGATGAGGAAAACCGACAATAATATTTATCAAATAAGTATATATAAATTCAAATGTATATACGAGCCCTGTCTCAGTGAAGTTGGCTTAACTGCCAAAACCATGGTTTTTAAAGAAATTTGCCATATTAACGAAAAACGTATTAAAAACTATAATGGGGGGTGGGTAGTTCAGTGGTTAGAGCCTCTGCCCGTGGATCCAAGGGTCCCAGGTTCAAATCCCACCGTTGGCCAAAATTTTTTCATTTAATTTAATTATTTAAAATTAATTCTGATGCCTTGGTAGGATTCCCGATTCGACCATTCACTGTTGGGTTCTAATTAACAGTACTTTTCATTAAGAGGCGCTGGGAAACAGTAAAAAAGCATACACAGAACACGAGGCGAAATAACCTTAGCAGTTGAAGACGATAACACAAAAAAAAACTATAATATTTCAGATACCATATGATATGTTTATTTAATTTTAGCCTAAAATACAATTTTTTTTGTAACAGAAAAAAATCAGATAAATTTAGAAAACTGTATATTAAAAAAAAATTACGAAACCAAATAACAGCAAATTACCACTGCGTTACATCGCCTTTTCGACTGATTACTGATTTGATACACTTTGACATAGTGTCATTTAATGTTTGGCAGTCATCTGCTGTAAAACTGTTCCAAATTTCTTGAAGACGGGTTCGCAATTCTAGAATGGTTCTTGCGGGATTTGATCTGAGCTTTTTCAATAGGCGATAGATATGGGCTGCTGGACGTCCATTTTAAAAGTGGAATATTGTTTTCTAACATCCAATCTTTTACTTTTTTAGCCGTGTGACAAGCGGCACCATCTTGCTGGAAGATACATTCCATATTATTTAAATCCGTTTTTTCAATTTGGGATTTTAAGTTAATTTAAAGCACATTAATGTACTTATCAGTATTTATAATACCTTTCACAAAGTGTAAGTTTCCCACTTCTTAGTTGACATGGCTCCCCAAATCATAACAGAAGCCGGAAACTTAACTTTCTTTCTAAGACAGTCATTCTGAAACACTTCTTCTTTTGTTCTTAGGACACGACTCCTACAATCAACAATGCATACTTTAAATCTGGCTTCATCATTCCAAATAATAGAGTTCTATTGGTGTGGAGACCATAACTGATGTTCCTTTGCCGACGCTAGTCTATTTTTCTTCTGAAACTTTGTCAGTAAGGCCTTCTCTTTTGCCTATGAATTTTTGATATAAAAACAAACAAAAAGCAAAAATTATTCAAGCATACCTTTTAATTTTTAAATCTCAGTTTTTTGGCAGCTATGTAACAAATTGCTTGGAAAATATTTTTCCCGTTGCCTGATTTCATAATATTCTAAATTTGTTATAATTAGCACGTCGGTTTTGCTTGATAATCCTTTTTAAAGCTCTTAAGTTGGCATTGGAATATTGCTGTTGTAGTCAAAAGTGTTTGGGCGCTTAGTACTTAATATAACCTTCCTTTTGTTTATCATAGTATGTAAAAATAATGTTGTCATATATAATTTGATATAAGTTGTCAATAAAAGTTAAAAAGGAAAAAGTTCATTTTTGCCAATCATAAGTATTTATCCAAACATTTTGGTCCTTTCGAGCGCTTGTAGAGTCATTTTAGTCCCCGTAGCTCTCATTTTGGCCGAGAGAAAAGTACAAAACTAAAATGTCTCACAAAGAGGGTGCCGTCAGAAAATCCAGCAGGGTTACTGCAGGAATACCGCCATTGAGATATCCGGACAGTCCATACGAACAAAGTGCAAAAGCGTCGACGAAGTCCAAAAGGTCCATATATTCAATGACCAGTGAGAAATTAAAAGAAATAGAATTAAAAAAGTTAGAAGCCATAAACCAGCTGCAGCGAGAAGAAGATTTAAAAGAGATAGAATTTCAGAAACAAGAACAGGAGATACGGAGAAAGTTTGAACGAAGAGAATATGAAAGAAAGTTAAGTATTATAGAAGCGAAAGCATCAATAGAAGCCGAAAAGATAATAGAAAATAGTATAAATAGCACTGGTGTTAAAAGTAACAGCTCTAAAGTTTCCATTAAATCAAATGAAAGACTAATATATACTGAAATACCATGTGCCCATGAAAAAGTTAGAACTTGGTTAGAAGCCGATGAATTGTCACATAAAGAATCTCTATATTTTATTGAAAAAAGTCCAAAAATTATTCAACATGAACCTAAAAATACTGCTAATCTTACTAATCCTGTCGATTCAACATCTGAGCGACTGGTGAAGGAGTTTACGACTGCAACTCAGGCCATGACAAATGCGTTTAGAGGTCTATCTGAAAATAATCAACTGGGAAATATATCTAAACTGTCTTTAAGAAATGTTCTTGGGAAAGAGCTTCCTAACTTTGGGGGCAACGTCGAGGAATGGCCCATGTTTATTTCGCTATTCAAAAGGTCAACAGAAACTTGTGGATTTACCGATGAAGAAAATATGATTCGTTTGCAAAAAGCACTAAAACATGAAGCCTTCGAAGCAGTAAAGTCATTATTTGTTTCTCCAGATAACTTAAAATGTATCCTTAACACTCTAGAGATGAGATTTGGTCGCCCTGAATACATAATAGAATCGATGATGAATAAAGTCAAACAATTACCTCCAGTAAATAGTCGCTATCCACTATCGTTCATTAAATTTTCAAATGCTGTTCAAAATCTTTCTATTACGGCTCAGTCGTTAAAAATGGAACCCTATATCAACAACCCTCAACTTATTAGTGCCCTCATTTCAAAATTGCCAGAGCACCTACAATTTCAGTGGGCAAGAGTTGTAAAGGGCCAGCAAATTAATATGCCAACACTAATCGAATTTTCTGAATGGCTCTATGAAGAATCGTCGGCAGCTAGCTTATTATGCAAACCTTCATCTTCAAACTTCATGCAAGAAAAATATCAAGAACGAAAAATCAGAAATACAGTTTTTGTTGGATCAGAAGATTCAAATAAACAGCAGTGTATATATTGTATAAAGCCTAGTCATAAAATTTATAAATGTAAAAGCTTCCTAGCTCTGAATACAGACAAAAGATGGGAGTGGGTAAAGGAACAAAAAATCTGCTTTTCCTGTCTTGCCGCTTCTCATATTTTATATGATTGCACTAAAAAGAGAAAGTGCGGGATATCAGATTGCAAAAAGTACCACAATCGTTTATTACATACCAGTTCTTCCAGAAATCAGGATATATTACCGAAACAATTACATAATTTACTGCACCAAGATGTTCAGCCAGAACAGTTAAATTTAAATAATGAAAATAAACCCGACCATTTATCAGTCATTATGAATGAACATTCTCTTCAAATACAGTCTGTAGCAAAAACTGTCCTCCTCCGAATTTTGCCTGTTACCGTGATAGGAAATAAAACATCCATTAAAACTTTCGCTCTTTTTGATGAAGGCAGCACGATCACACTCATGGATAGTAGTCTTGCTGAAGAAGTGGGAGTAGAAGGTAACATCGATCCTTTGAAGATGTTTTGGACAAATTCAACATCATTTACAGACAACCTTTCAAGAAGAATAAATGTTAAAATTCAAGGAAAACTTAATAACAGCATTTATGAACTTTCTAATGTTCGTACTGTATCGAATTTAAATCTGCCCACTCAGTCTGTAAACGTTCAAAAACTATCAACAAAATGGCCTCATCTTTCACAAGTTCCCATTGCTGATATGCTGCAAGCCAAACCATTATTACTAATCGGGCAAGATCATATCGATCTAACCATTGCTAGAGAGGTAATTCAAGGTCCAGCAAATGCCCCAGTTGTCTCCAGAACCAAATTAGGGTGGGTAATTCATGGTAACCTATCCTACATCAAACACAGAATCCAGCCTGAATTTTCTATGCACTGTTATAATAAAAACGATAACGAAATCAAAGAACTAGAAGATCTAATACGACAAAGTCTAATTATTGATAATTTAGGCATTAGCAATGAAGACAAAAAAGTATTGTCCGATGATGATAAAAAAGGTTTTTTGATTATGGAAAAAACCTGCAAACAGTTAGAAAATGGCCATTGGGAAATTGGTTTACTATGGAAAAAAGAAAATCCCCAGCTGCCAGAAAACCGAAGTTTTGCTTTAAAAAGATTGTATACTATCGAAAGACAAATGGACAAAGACGACTTATTTGCAAAAAAATACTGCCAACAAATAGATGCATTTATAAGAAAAGGTTATGCCAGAATCCTTACTGACGAAGAAGCTGCGGTTGCCACGAACAAAACTTGGTATTTACCACATTTTGCAGTTAAGCATCCCAGCAAGCCCGAAAAATTTCGCTTTGTTTTTGACGCCAGAGCCAAAGTAGAGGAAACCAATTTAAATCAAAATTTGTTCAGAGGTCCTGATTTATTAAATTCTTTAATAAATATTTTATTCAATTTTCGCCAAAATCCAGTAGCTGTGTTGGGTGATATCGAGGAAATGTTTCTCCAAGTACAAATAATACCAGAAGATCAATTTGCTCAACGATTTCTGTGGAGGGGAAGAGATAGAAAAGGTCCTGTGCTTACTTACCAAATGCAAGTTATGATTTTCGGTGCAATTTGTTCTCCAAGCTGCGCAATTTACATTATTAACAAAAAC